TTAAATTCCACTCGACTCACTAAACGTTCATTCACGACTATATCAAAAAGCGCGATTGACACACACAAAGACAACAACAACAAAAAACTGAATAGAAACAAGAACAATGACAGCAACAACAAATGACCTTGTTTTCAGTACCAACCTTTTTAACAGTATGTCAGCAAGCCTCGAGATCTGATCCCTCTCTCTTGTAGATGTTTCAATGTTAGCAAGAGTTCTGTTTATTCAAAGACCTTATTGATGATTTGAAATTCTTACCCTAATGAACCTTATGTTCAGCTGCTTTGTTAATGGAAGATGTAGTTAAGGGTGACTGATTCTTTCAATAGGTCAACATTTCAGAGTCAAGTTAAGATGCCCCTATTTTGACCTGTCCAGTATACTACCATCACTGGAATAATATGGAAATAGTTACATAAAGATTTAAATCGAAAAGAGTGATGGGTAACAGACAATGTTCTAACAAATAAACCCAGTATTGTGAAAAGCTGAAATAAGACAATGGCAAAAAAGGCAGCAAAATATTCGTTCATCTTAAGAGCTGGGCAACACGGCCAGCCTGTTTTTTAGTTAACGTACACTGAGCTAAATAACCGGGATTAGTAGGTGATAATGTCCTTGTGTGCACGAAAGGTTTAAACGCTATACAAGACAAACCAAACTGTCTTTAAACAGATGACGGTGTAGCTCTACTGTTGTTGTTTTTCAAACAAAATTAAAAAAAAAAATTTCATATCGCGTAACAGGGATCCGCCAAACGTCATTTAACTTAAAGTGCGCCTTAGTTAAACTTTAAACAGTAAATTAAAAGGAGACAGCTGACTTTTTTGGGGAAAACCGCCTTTCTTAACTGATGTTATTGGAGGGGGGGGGGGGTTATCGGTTTAATTTTGTAGTTAGTAGTGCTAAAATCTTAAATATTGAATAACCCTTGGAATACATTGCCATAATAACCGCGAATGACGAAACAACAGTCATTTTGAGTCAAGCAATCACTGTATAAGGGGACAGGTTCACGGTTCAAAATGCTGTTTTTCTGCTGGGACATGCTGTATCGTCTATGCATGTGATATGATCACGTCATAATGTTGCAAAGAACCAATCTCCACACTTCCCTGGCAGTCACTTGCACTTGATCAACTTAAATATTTGCAAACAGCTGTAAATTAATCACCCATGGAATAAAACCTTCGGGTCAACAATAAATTCAACGTTGGTAGTGTTGGCATAATGCACTAATTTTTTCTGCGATTTTAGTACTCCTCCATCCTACTTCAGGTTACTCTGAAATACACTTCTACTTTGAAATACACTCTGAGATCGCTTAGATACATGTGAGTGGGATTATTAACCGATAGAATTCATAATAAATTGGTAAAAAGTAATTTAATTAAGGAGATGCGCTTAACCGTGAACCTGTCCCTTTAATGTAACTTAACAAAAGTGCCGCTATGTCTTTGCATAAAAGGCGCATTTCAAGGCCGTGAAAAGAAAAGAAAATTTTCTGGTTTTAATTATTTATTTATTTATTTATTATTCATTCAAAATATTTCCTCGATTCTGATTGGCTAAAAGCACACGCATAATTCACCATAACCAGTTACTGATGACCAAATTTGGAAGAATTTTGTGTTTAACGAGGAAATGACGTCAAAAATGCAGTGTTCTTGCAGGTTAATGCACCGTTAACCCAGAAGACCTGGGGACGAGGTTGAGTTGTTTTGGTTGTGAAAACAAAAAATGGCGGACATTTCACTCGTTTCAAGAGTAAGAACTAGGCAAAATTATGGCTAAAAACATGACAAGAACACAACTCGAAGGGCGACAGGTGCTATTTGGAGAATATTTGCGGAGCTGAACAACCCTAAACGTGCACTATCGAAGGTGAACTTAATATCGATGGAGGTAAGCATGTTTTAGCTTTGTTTTTAAACTAGGAATTATTTTGAATGAATAATAAAACAATTATTGAATTCGGCTTTTGTATCACATGTAGAATTATGGAGAACTCGGAGAGTGTCATCCGTCGAGGCCGTAACACCCTCCTCGATCTCCGTAATTCTTCATAACATACTCAGCCTCATTCATTAATTGTCAATTATGTGTTTAAAAGATGGTGTATTGGGTAAAGGATTGAATTAACTGCAAAAACCGTGGACGAAGATCTTGCTAGTTGTAAACGTTGGATCTCTAGAAAAGAGATCTAATCAGCCAAAATATAAGGAACCAAGAACGAGAAGTCCAAAGACTACTGCAAAGCTGATTTAAGACAACGTGTATTGTTTTTTATAACAATATTCCGGCTGGCCATTCCAGCCTTCTTCAGGTATTGGTATTGTATTGGTACCATTTTTCAATGGAAGGTAAATGAAAGGCGTACCTTTTTTGTCAAAAATGGAAAATAAAAGTTTAAGCCCCCCCCGTTAAGGGATTGGACCTCGGCGGCGAAGCCTCCCCGTGTAACATTTTGTTCGGTAGCCCCGGGCCTCATTTGCAGGAACAGAAACCTTCGTAGTTGTAGGCAGTCTAAGGTTTTCGCTGTCCCCGATTGCCACTTTCATAGCGCTTATCCTGTCGGCAAAATTATTTAGGGTGACACGACAAACAGCACTTTAAATGTGTCATTATTATGACTTTAATAACTATAGGAGAGGTTAAGAAAAACTTGATATGTACAATACTACTTTACAACAAATATTTCAAATGTGCGACACAAAATTTATAATCACACGTAGTAAATTCATATTCTTGGCCGTGAAACTATGATAGCTTGTAGTTGAGGTTAACGCTGGAGAATATCAGTACTTAACGTAAAACGGAAAATGTTTTAATTTTCTACGAGTTTACCGGCACAATAAACCATCGGTTTTTAACCAATCAGAACGCCCGTATTATCTTGGTTATTTTAGAAAATGAAATAAATGCATGCAAGAAAGTCGCCGCTCATTAGCACGTGTAGTTGCATCACAGAGAATACGAATATCTTATTCACTTGAATAAGCGCCGCGGCCCCGAAATAGTCAAAATAAGACGTCAATTCTGTTAGTTTAACAAGGAAAATAACAATATCTTAGTTACAACAACATTGCTCTTTGTCGCGTCCAACTTTCAAATAAACGCCGCCCTCAAATAGACGCCGTATTTGGGGCGTGGAAAATTTTATAAGCGCTTATTCGAGTAAAACTATAATGCGAATGTTGTCAACGTTCTGTCTGGCTGACGAAAAGTACTGCGAACAACTTGTAACCGGTTACTGGGAGGCTCAAGAAATCAAAGACGCAAATCGCAATTCCACTATTAGGTTAAACGCGATTCTTACAAATGGCGTCAGGCTAGCGTCAGGCGTGCTGGTAGTAACTGCACCCTCGTAAGCCACACCCCACTTTACAAAAATTATACATTGAAAACATATAGGTAGTCATTTCATCGAATTTGAACCAGATCTCTTCAAAGCCATTTACAAACGCAGTGATTAAAAAACGTCCATAAATTCTCTTACTAAAGGCCGACCTAATATACGAGGAAATGCAGGTATTACAATGAAACGCATGTATAAACTACAAATTCCCAACAGAAAAATGTACCCTGGGGTGGGTACTGTATTATCATCAATCGAACCTCCATGTGCAGCCACCTCTCGTAAGCGACCGCCAATCCAAAACACCAAAATTTTCCCAGTCATAGCCTTACAGTTAGAACGTCTGGTAAACGACCACCTCCTGTAAGCGACCGCGACCTTTTTCCAGGCCTGACAGTTAAAGATTTTCCTTTGTTTTTAACCTTGTAAGCGACAACTTGACGCATTCTCTGATCTCTATTGTTCACTGTGTGCACTATGCTACTTAGAATATATGAAGAACTTAAGTGACAACACGGAACTAAACATGGCGTAACTTAGACATTGCATGCATTAAGGTATCTTCCATAAAGTAGATGTGCTTGGACTTCTTCTCGGAAGAGGTGCCCTATAGTTCGATTCTTGTAAGCGACCACCTCCCGTAAGCGGCCACTCAGTCTTTGCATTTCTGGTGGTCGCTTACGGGAGTTTCTACTGTACATTACAAGCAGCTGTTACGTACACTCGTATCTTACCACATGTTTGAAAGGTTGAGTATCACGTTTACGTCAAACGGCAAACGCGAATTTTTACCACGTGACCAAGTTTAATTTTTGTTCATCATTTCTATACACAAATTAGTAGTCTCACGCAATTTTATCCATAAGAATTGTTTTGAGCTGTTTTATCTGCTCTTTTTCTATTTTGAGAAATTCTCAAACTGAAGTTTTCAAACGTCAGGCTGACGTTTGCCGTTTGCTGTATACGTGAAGCTAAAACTCTCTAAAATTCCTATGTAGACTGGTGGCTGACATAAGAAAAAAAGCTTATTTTGTAAGAAGTGTGATAACCGCACTAAAATGTATAATTATATGTATATTTTATGATCACAAGTCAAATATGTACAGAGCGTATGTGTTTTAAATGCGCTTAAAAGGAGAAAGAAAATGCCTGCATGGAACCAGGAAAAATTGACAGTTATTTTAAAAACCCGAGCTGCTCCAAGCGCACCAGTATCAAGCGTAGAATCTGTTAATTTGATTTCCCTAAAAGAATGACTGTTACTTCTTTTTATAACCAAGCTGAAACAGCTGACCTGTTTATGGCAAGTATCATTTAAAAAATAACGGACAGTTTCGAAACATTTTACAAGCAACTTTTACTTTCAGGGAATCAAATCAACTGACTCCGTTCATAAATACATTAACAACTATATAAATATTGGTGTTCTTAAGTACTCTATAACAGCTAACGTAAACTTTACACATGCGGTGCAAGCATGGACTAACTGAAACCTAATATTGACACCTATAATTCGTAGGTCGTCCCCAGGCTCTTTGCAGTAAAAGGAGACGGGAAAAACAAAGACTCTGGGAACGAGATTTGTAGAGCTTATACTTGCATAACATGTGTAACCTAGACAACAGAAGAATCCACCGTTCTAAATATGCCAAAGGCAAGTGCAGCACTTTACGGGCTCATAGCAAATTCCTCGCCGTTCACGTCGGTTGAGAACAGAATCTGGCCACAGATAGTTCATCAACCAAAACGGGAGCATGATGACCAGAAATCCTGTAAAACAACAGAATTTTTGTATTGAGTACACTTTATAATAGGCAACGATGAAGTAGTCTTCTTCGGAGCCGTTATTAGGGTCGTCACACAACGCTCCTCCCACCAGTGGGGAAGAGTTTTGCGTGACGACCCTAAAAAACGGCTGCGAAGGAGACTAGCGATGACGAGCATAACACACTTACTGTAAAACCGCATACCTAAGTGCGAGTGCGCGAGGGAAAAGTGGGGGGGGGGGGGTGGGGAGTTAGAGAAGGGGAATCCCTTCCTACTTCCACGTGCACCCGAACTTCTACTTTTCTATTCTCGGTTTTCACTGTCACGCAATCAAAAATAAAATTGCAAACCATTCGATACAGAAAGTCCCGAATCTTGGAAATAAAAGAAGATAAATAAGCAAAAGACCTTGCCAAGAATCAGGTCTGTGCGATATTTCATATGCGAGATATTAGGAAAAACGTTTTACCCAAATTTATAAAGCTTTGTATGGAGGCGCCATGTTTGTGTCCCTTTGAGGGGCACAAATATGGCCGCCGGAAACCAACAGAAACATCTGTTTTTGAGTTTTCCTACTAATGCGTTAATTCATCGCTTAAAAAACTCATAAACTATTAAAGTGATATTTATTCTGACAGAAGGAATGTTTAGATAGCAAAATCTCCCAAAACTGGTAATGTTTTTAACCCACAGAAGAGCAGTCCCGGCCGCCAGCTAAATGCCGCGTCACGCAAAAGCCTAGAAATTCAAACGTCCTCTATCGCAAAACGAAGAACCCTTTCGAACCAAACCTCTGTTTAAATAAAGGTGTTTAGGTGCTGTAATACCTCATGAAACTCAGAATCTCAGAAGAATCGATAGTTTCTTAGTTTGAATTTTGATGACGTCATGTGAAAACCGAGAATTCCCCTTCGAACGCCTCCTACGTAGACTACGATACTAGGATCCGGCTAGCCTAAATTGTGGGCATAAATGCGATATCTATTTAATCATATGCTTCACTTTCACCTTTTAAACCCGTAAAATCTCAAATCTCGTGATACGCGATTGTTAAAGCGGTAATAAAAAGAGGCGATCGATTTGAGGTAGGAGGCCCTTGGACTTTGTCACGAACAAAACCGTGCAGTAAAAAAGGCCGTGCTTTCATGAGAGAGATTAACTTCGCTTAACGGTAATCACAATTTGTATTCTTCAGTTACGTTCTTTACACGACTTATTAACCAAGGTGGGAGACAAACAACCGATAGTTTGTGCGAGGAAGTGTACGCGGCAGGGACGAAAAATTATTATGTCCTCAAAGTTTTCACTTGTAGACTGTTGGCATCTAGACGTTGAAGCAATTCCTGTGTTCTGATTGGCTTTCCAAGCGGCCAAGAAGGGTCTTTATACAGCTATTTCGAAAAAAGGTTCTCGGAAAAAGCGCTCGCGACAAACCCGAAAGGTATTTTGGGTGGTTTTGAGATCACTGTTCTTCATAGAAATTTTGAAAGAATGGCACGACAGGCCATGGACTATGTTTCCGAGTGCTAAAGCGAAGCAGCAAAAGTAGGTTCGATAGCTACAGTGTCAGAAACAGTGTATTGATCATATCCCATATTACCTTTCGGGGTTGTCGCTTGCACTTTTTTTCCTGCAACCTTTCTCGAAATAGCTGTATGTGTTGTGGTTCAATTTTATCCTTGGTTTAAAATTTAGTTTCCTTTGTTCCAAACAAATTCATCATCATACATTATCATACCCAAAAACAAAAGAACATAAAATTAAAACCAAAGATAAAATTGAACCACAACATTCACCTAATTGCATTTACGTTGTTATGAAAAAAGCAAATAAAAATAGACAAATAGGAATTAATTACAGTGTAACCATGCAAAAGACCTTTTGATAATTTGATAATTCTGTAAACACATTTGCAGTACTTTAATCTGACATCAGTTGAGTTAAGCAAAGCTTAAATGGCCACTGATGTTTTCTGTTGATTCCTTAGTCTGACATCCCTGATTGTAGTAGAACGTTATTGCAATTAGGCGTATATATGCGTTATTGACTTAGAGTGAGATCAAGATTGATATTGGGTAAGTTCTTTTTTGCGTTTTTATTGACTGAGACACAAAATCGACGCCAATAAAAACGCAACAAAAGAAACAGGCCAATATAGAGCCACCTTGACTGAACAAGCTTGGTCTCTGGAGAGGAGAAGTGTGACGTCACGTTACCATGGTAGCAAAATTTCTGGATGACAACAATAGGGAGTTTTTGCAACGGCGACGGTGAACAGCAAAAAAAAAGGTTTAGATTAGCAAAAAATCAACTTTGCACGTGCATCACGCTTTTCTGTACATTTCTTAGCCGCTGTTGCACGACTGCGACATGAAACTTTCTATTTCACGGGCCCGCTTTATGGAGTAGGTGAGCACAACACAAAAAGTTTCTTTTTCTTTTTCTAAACTTAGATACTGTCCTTTTGGATTTAACCCAGAAAATTCCGCCAACATTTGACAAATTAAATGAAATTGAATAAGATCGATGAAGTTTGAAACAGTGCGAATTTACTTTTTAGGTGAATTTTCGCTCTGTTGTCATCCAAAAATTTTGCTACCACGGCAACGTGGCGTAACGACTTCTCCTCTCTTTAAAAGACTATGTTATACGGCCAAAAAGGACACAGAAAGATCTTTTCTTGCGCAAATAACGCGAGAAGTTCTGAGGAGATACGCAAATAAGACAAGCCTTCCTTGCCTGCTTGGTGTCCAATCAAAACACAAGATTCACTTTATCTTGCGCGCTTGGGATTTAGCCATATAATAATTCTTCATAAGATACTCAGCCTCATTCATTAATTGTTAAATCATACACTGGTACAATGTACAACATCTCCATGTACCAGTTTTTTTTAGACTATTTGCCTAATGAGATAGAAGCTTAACACATGTGTCAAACCTACCTGTTGTAAGAAGAGCAAATATCCCAAATGACAGACATAAATAGTACAACTCAGGAGCATATCCTTGCTAAACAAGAGAAAGAACAAAGGAGAATTATTCATAATGACTTTAATAGTGTACCTTGCTGCAATGTCAGGATATGTAAGCAATAGGCCATGTGACTGAAAGTTTGCACTATCTGAGGTGCTGTGTTCAGCGTGCAAAGAAAGTAGTGTCCGATAGCCCGGGGCTAGTGGATTTTGCTATCTGGCCAGTGAATTCTCTTTTTAACTTGCCCGACGGGCAAGTGATTTTTTTTGGAGGAATCTGAATAACAGAAGAACTGTGAAATCAATTCTGCTCATCAAAAAGCTTTTGCCGTGGGGCTAGTTGAAATGACTTGTGGGCTAGTAAATGCTAGCTTCAGCTTGCCCGAATGACAAGCTGTAAAAATGATATTTTTTGCACCCTGTGTGTTTGACAATGGAGCCTGGGTGTTTTTGAATGGGTTGTGATCCAGTTTTTTTCTTTTCTTGGGGAGTTGGGGCCTAAATCTGTAGGATTTGCTTTGGTATTACTATTAAATTGCATTACGCCACTTTCCTTCTACTATCAAGATCCTTCAGGGTTTTTCTGGGGATTTTGTTATGTAAACTTTGCAGGGAGAACCAAATTTAATAAACTCCGGTTTATTGGCAACTATTGAGAACACCTGGGATTGTGAGGATGTTCCCAGCCCTGCATGCTTATATAATTTAACAAATGCACTTGGCATACAGTTGACTCCTGATAACTCAAACCTCATGCTAACTCGAACTAAAGTTGATTTCTCTTGGATTTCCTTTACACATTTACAGTAATTTTACCCACGATAACTACAACCTCCCATAAACTCGAAGTAATTTTTGTTTCCTTTCAGGTCATTTCTACATAATTTTACCCTTGATAACCCGAACCATGTTTTAAGTGCATAACAAGTTGAAAAAGAAAAACATTGTACTGAAGTCCGAAACATTGAATTTAGAGAGATTAAGCATCGTGTTTAATGCAAACGTGAATTTGTACCACGTGACAAAGTTTTCGATAATTATTACTTATCGTTTACAGTTCATTATAACTACACGAAAGTCCACAGATTCACACTAATTCTTTCCATAACAATAAATTATTTGAAGCTGTTTTTATCTGCTCATTTCTCATTCTGAAAATTTTACAACTTGAGTCTTATGTTTGCCGATTGCCGTAAACACGATGCTTAATCTCTTTTATTTCAAAACAACCATGTCAATTCTTTGTCTTTACTTTTATGTCACTTGATCCACTTCAAATTCAGTTTCCATCCCTATATATTAATCAAGATTTGTTGCTTAATTCCTTTTTCAAAATAACAATGTTTATGTCATCCAATGCTGCCTTTGAAGTAGAGAGTGCATGATACTTGCATTCCCTCCCCATCCATTTGCTTCTTTCCCTGTTTCTGGTTCTTTGCCTCGCACTCGAGTTCCTGATCACTCAAACTTTTTTTGGTCTCCCTAGAAGGTTTGAGTTATCGGGAGTCAAACTGTACTTTTTAACTCTGAGGTTCCCATAAAAAACAACAAGAAGAAAACACTCACACATAATTCAGAGGCAAATGTTGATGCAAACAGTACCATGCCAAGAATGAGGGATCCAAAGCCAAAGAAATGAAATGCAATCTTAAGCTGCCATGGCACAGGTTCCATGATTGCGAATAAAAATGTAAAAGCTGAGAGTAAAAATAAAAATGGATCTGCATTGACTCCACATGTTGCTGCACAAGTTCATGTTACAGTATTTATGTACATGTATAATATAAGCAAAAACACAGGCTATGACTACCCCCTTCCCCCTCCCCAAGGGAAAAGCAGCCCCCACCCCTCTCCCCCAGACAATGTTGTTCTTTGTTGAGTAGGGTCAAATGAAAATAACAATGGATAGTGTATTTTGTAGAATATCATTTGGCATGTCATGATTAAACAAGTTGTTTAGTCGGGTTGCAGTTCACTTCAGAAGCTGCGTGTTGCAACTACCGTGTGGCACAAAATTTTTGCGGGAGTTTATTTTTGTGGATTGGCAATTTTCTGTGTTTTGCAGGAACTAATTTTCGCGATTAGGACAGATTGATTTTTCTTGCTGGGAATTAATTTTTAGGATTTTTAGAGAGTACCCAGTACATAGCATTGAAAATATTTTCTCTTTTATTGAGTACATGTGATAGAAATACATATTTTCAAGCAATAAACCATTATTTCATTGTTTCTGAATGAAAGAGACAAGTTGTGATTGAACAGACACGAATTCTTAGTACTGTATTTTTGTGTAGCGAAGTTAAGTTAGAGAATTTTATTTACTCTCAGACTGGACTAAATTTTTGTGGGAAAAATGTTAGTGGTAATTTTTATTTGCAGGAACGTATTTCTGTGGATCGCTGGAAGAATCACAAAAATTAGAACCTGCAAAAATTTCCTGCCACACGGTAGCTTCCAGGATATTGCACAAAGGATGGGATGTAGTGAAGTGGTGAGCTATAATAAACTAACCTCACTTTTAGTGAGATATTTTGCAGCACATGCAAAATAACCAAGCAAAAAGTCAAAGTACAAAAGCAAATCCACAATAAAAGTCATAGCTATGCTGCAAGAAATTAATTTTGTTGCCAATTTGTAGGCAGTTTAGAATAATTTCTTGTTGTCTGTAAATTTCAGTTGGAAAGGGAATTTTTAAACTACTGGCAAGCCCTGAGCTACTACATGTAGTAGCCACAGATCAAATATAACCGGATACATATTATTAGCTGAAAAAAATTCATTGTTTGGTGAAAGAAACTCAGTGTCATGTTGGGCATTAGCACTACAAAAGAAACTGCCAGGTAAGAAGATGTGTTCTTGCACATTTTTACTGCAAATTAATAGTCACAGGTCAAAATTTTGCATACCACAAGGACAATTTTGCACGAAGACCTTCAATTTATCCTTGACCTCATTGATGGTGTCCGCGATGGAAAATACCTCTTGAAAACCCCTGGAAACTTCCGAGACTCTAAATTCAAAATGACCCTTGATGCCGCAGCCCTCAAGAACTTGTGCCTTTGGTGCAAGTTCCAAAGCTGCCTAGTATACATTATCAGCCTACTACTTAAAAACTTTTGCCAGCCCTGGGCCCCCCCCTCTCCAAGGAATGGATGAAGTTTAGCAGTAGTTATTGGAATTTCCAGAGGTGTGTGGGGTCTTAAGTGGAAGTTATGGATATGATCTGGACCTGCACATTGTTTTTCAAAATTACGAGGTTAAAAGAACACCAGACGGAGAAAGTACACTGTACCTATCATAGCGAATGTAAAAACAATGCCTGCAACTGAGATGTTGAGCAAAGGTTCATCACAGGTCCGAGAGCTTGGAGGCCTACAGCAAATAAAGTAAAAAGCACAAGTAAGTAATATAGTAATTTTGCTTTAAAACGAGTTGGCCCCAGCTTATTGGCCACAGGTAGTGGATCCATTTTCTGGTCATTATCCGGCCAAAAAGAACCAAAACAGCCCAAAGCACTGCACTGTTTATAAGTCAAGCATTTCCTGATGTTAGATATCAGCTTCTGAAGTTCAGGCACGGCCAGAAGGCAAAACGTTGATACTTTTACATTTCACTTAGTTCTCCTTCCCAATTCTTTTGCAATTCTTTCCTCTTTCTTTGGGGGGTTGGGCTGAGCAATAAATTATTACTTAAGGCACCCACTCAGGTGAAAAAGTTTCAACAAAAATTATAAGGGTTGTGAATTAATAATTTTTCAGTAGAAAGTGCACGGTATGTGTATGGGTAAGTAGTCAATTTTCTGGTCAATCTTAGATGTTCATTTTACATTTTTTCTCTGGCCTGTTTGCCTGATTCATGCTCATGAAAGATTTCTTTTTCCTGCTCGAGTTGTAGGTGTCAAAATAGTCTATGACCATTCAAACCAATGACATCACAAGTAGTACAAGGGATGGGGATCCTCATGGGCAGATATGGGCATTTGAAGGGTAAAAATACACCCCTCAAAAACCGAAGAGTTTTTGTACCTGCTCAAGTCACTGGCAGTTCGCAGCCCACATCAAAGACAGAACTAAACTTCTGGTTAATTCTGCCTACAAAACAGCATCAATATCCTTGTTCTGGGCCTTCAAAAGTGTACCAGGGGTGTCATGATTTGCATGTCATAGTTGATTTGCCAATTAGGTTGAAGGAAAAATTGAAACAAATGTTCAGAAGTTAATTGACTCAGTTGTGGGCCCAAAATAAGGATATCAGCACTGCTTTGCAGATGTTACTGACCAGGGTTAGGTTACATGTATGTCTGCGATGCAGGCTAAGGGAGTCTCAACATACCATGAAAAGGAATTAAGGTTTAATAGAAGGTTACCTATGGAAAGATCTTTTACAGGTCAAAATTAAATTCAGGTAAAAAATTTTTAACCCAGGGTGATTCTTAATTTCCTTTGTCTCCTAGCCCTAAAATTATTCATGAACTAGGACTTGGAGACAAAGGAAATTGAGAAGCAAACTAGGTTAATAACAAAATTAATTTTATTGGACACTTTCTATGACCCATTCAATGTCCGCATTAACCCCTCAAGCCCCAATATCCACAAACAAATTCTCCAAACACTGATCTCCATAAATTTCCTTTAAGAATTAGGTGAGAGAATTTAATAAAAAATCAAGGCATTTTCTCTTTGGTGATCATTTAATTCATTCTCATAATCCTCCCTCTTGACTATGTATGGATGTTGTTAGGAGAAAATTGATGTTGGTCACTATTGGGACTTCAAGGTCAAATGAACCAAAATTTCGACCTTTTTTATTTTAGTTCAATTCCAGTGAAATGTGTTTAATATGAACCAAATAAACATACTATGAAGTTTCAGCTCAATTGAAGCAAGTGTCTACGAGATATTGGCAATTAAAAATTGCTGTTTTTTGGCCCTTATCTTCGTAGAGCGGTTGGAAAAATTGTCGGAAAAAACAGCTTGTGACGTCAATGTTGGTCAGGTGAAAAAAAGCGGGAAATTCAAAACAGTTTTTCGAGTCAACTTGGCATGGAAGTGGTTTGTGCGACCATAAACCTGGAAATAACAGGCAATTTGTCTTCAAAAGTTGCAAGCTATGGTTATAATCTTCTTATTATTTAATTTTTTCGAAGAATACATCATAGTAAAACGGACTTTAACGACATTTACTAATTTCCTTGAGTTGTACTGGAAATGTGCGTGTGTAAGTCTGATTAGGGTCCGGAGCTCCACCGTGAACACAAAAACAAAATAACTTTGTATAATAATCTGCCCAAAGAAATTCAAGTTTGCCCACAATGTGTTTGAAGTCCCTGAGCTTTGTTGCACTCGTGCTGATATTTTAAAACCCACACTCGATCGGACACTTCTAGCTTCGCAGATCACTAAAATATAAACAAAATCCTCAATGTACAAGTTTTGGCGTTGATATATGGGCCGAAAAAGAGTTAATCTTTATCTACTACATCTTCCCCAAGATCGTTTTCAAAGCAACCATAGTTTTTTAAACTTGATCGTTTCGGGCAGATTAATTTTGCTTTGTGTTGTCAAGTTGAACATGCATAACACTTGTTAAAAACCTACGCGTATTAAAGTAAGATTTCCTTCAAACAAAGTTAAAGTTACATTATTGCAAAAACTTCTTTCCAATTATGTATAAGATTTAATTACCGATTGAGGTCACTTTAAGGACCAAAGACGCCACTTTAAGCTGGCAAAGAGATGCGACAAGCAAAGAACAATTCCATCATGCGTAAAATTCAGCTTAAGTGAACTAAAAAAAGCTTCAATAAGATTGCAAAACAACAAATTTTCATTAAAAAAAATAAGGCTTAAGGCTCCTATACCTGCTGACAAAGAAGAAGTGAGTTTTCTGTACGGAAACAACCTACCTAAAGATCTTAATAGCAAAAGATCAGTTGCAAGCTTCGCAGCCAAGCCATGATTCCGACTACTTAGCTAGATTAGCTACATTTAATAACTGGTCCATGCGAGGGTCTTCATTCAAGCAAATTAAACTCAGCAAACTAAATCAGAAAATACAGAAAACTGCACATAAGGATTTCTTTTGCTCGCTTCAGTCAAATCCAGCTCCAGCAATTGTTTACGGGCAAAGAGTCGATTGTTTTGGAGTAACTGCCGGCAGTTGTCGTTCTCCGCGCTACTTCACAGCGAGTGAAAGGAAAATTTGCGTACAGAAAGATAACAAAACTATGTAATTAAAACTGAAAAAACTAAAGGGAAAAAACTCTGACTATTATTACTTGAGCAACAGAAAAATTATCGAAGTAGTCTTTTCTTCTCGAGTAAGCTTGCTGGCCTTCTAAAGTTCCAAGGAAGTTTTAAGCGCCCAAGTTTGTTCACTCCCAAGCGTTAGCATTACGGTTCTTTGACATAAGACGAGGATAAAGCCGGTTCTGCAAAGGTAAATAAATCTGGCCATGTAAAAAAACTAACCGTAACTACTAATAACAGAATACAAGTGGGTTTTAATTCAGTCCGGCGAAAGAAGGTGAAGAACTGGACACAAAATCAATTGACAAATCGAATGCACAATAGGCCATTTGCACTAAGAGGTCATGTGACATCATTTTATGAAGATGAAAGTTATATAATTTTGCCTTCAAAAAATGATTAGTGGGTCATATTCTAAACAAAATAATACTGATTTGGTTTTTCAAACCTGCACCGTTGTCATAAAATGAGTAAGTTTGTAGCTGGTCACGTGACCAAAATGTGATTTTGAAAATTACAAATCACTTCTTTCTGAACACAAATTTTGCACTTAAACTTCCAAGGAAAATGTTGAAAAATGATGTGGTAACGTTTGTAGCACATCTGAACATAACTATCAAAAGTTTAACAAGATGTAAGCAAAAAGTAGTTTTGGCCGCCATGTTGGAGGGCAAGAGTATGCCCTCCAACATGACGGCCAATACAAATCATACTACTTTGTTGAAAAATCAAAGTGCCATAAAATATCTCCCTTAAATGGTTTTTTCTCTCAAATTTCGCATGTAAGATAATTTTTATGTGCTCTGTCAATTTTTGGCATCAGCAGGATTCCAACTAATCGTTTAAGGGAAGTATTGGTCACGTGACCTCTTAGTGCAAGTGGCCTATTATCAGAAAAATACAAACCTCTTTGGAAATGTTCAAATTGTTTTATTCCTCCTCAGACTGACGGATGATCTGTTTTTAACATTGGTTGTTCTGAATCCAAAGTAATTTTCAAGTGACGAAAAAACAACAACAACAACAACAAAAACAAAAAAAAAGCCTTTAAAAGGAGCAAACTTTCGCACCTCATGTATTTCATTCAGTCTCAGTCAGAACTCTCACAGAACGAGACAAACAAACGCAGGCGATAAGGGATGCGCAGAAGCTTGCGCAGAACGTTTTTCCGTCCTGAAAGACCAACATTGACGTCACGTAGTCTCCAGTCTATCACGCGGCCATTTCAGAAACGTTTTCGTGAAGTTTTCTGAAATGCTCGGATTTTGATCTTTTATCTTTCTATAAAGGCTTGGGAAGAAAAATCTTTACCCACATCTCACTTAGGATGGTTCTTTTTAGTGTTTGGTGAAGGTAAAGTGACAAAAAAAAATGTTTCAATTTTTTGGTTCATTTGACCTTTAAAGACTTTAACCAACTACCTAAAAAGGAGCTTTAGCTATAGAGGTGCAACTCTCTGGAACAGTCTGCCCTGCAATCTTAGGCAAGAGAAATCTCTAAATCGTTTTAAGCAATTGTTAAACTTTCATTTTAGTTATAATTAAGTTAGATACACGGCATTCATGGAAAACAGGTATAGTTTAGTGTAATTTTGAGTAGTATTTTTATTAAGAGACTCTTTAGATATGTATTTATTATTATTAAATATTGTTATGTAGTTATACTTTATATGTAACAAAAAACCTGATGAATTTTTACTGTGTTAAAATAAAGATTTGAGATTTGAGAAAGGGTCAACAGAGTCAATGACTGTTCCATGATTACTATTAGAAACCTTCAGATTGCAAATGGTTGTCTTACTATTTTGACATGAATACAAAGCTACAGGAATGATAATTATCATCTGACATTAGGTATATTTGAGTAAGACCAGCTGTTATTTGCAGGTTGATATTTCTTCCATTTTACACGCGATTTTGATTATTATTTTGTGTCTCAAATTTTGAGCTCTCATGGATGTGTACTGGATTTATTTAACAAGTTAAACAACAGTAAAAAAAAGTTATGATCACTCAAAATTTGCCACTTTAGAACAAGAAGGAAACCGGAGCTGAAATACGTGCCACAATAATATTAATTATTGTTTCTGGGATCGCTACTGAGGGCGTGCTTGTCAGCTACAAAGTTTTTGACCAAAGTTTTTTCCCTGTCCCTAGTATCAGTCTCAGAAGTCATTGTGATAGTTAACTTGGCTCAGTTTTCTTCTTGTTTCTAAATTAATAAATAGAGCCTGTTAACCTGGCTTGCTTTTACTTCAATTGGCCATTTTGTGTCTTCCAGCTGGTTTTACATTTGTGCATCAAAGAAGAGAATACTTCTACTGGTTAACAGCTCTTTCCACCCATTGTCCTACTATACTAAAAGATTATGTTACTGTAAATTATGTATAAATTAAGTAGTCAATACTTACAGCTGAATCACATATACTTGTGGTATAATGAACATAAGGGCAAAAAGTACAACAGCAAGTCTCCTGTTGAAAAAATAAGGTTGCAATTATCAATGCGATATTTATGCAATAAATCAACATCTAAAACTAACTGAATATTGTTATCAGTTCATAAAAAAAAGATGCGTTTTTTTTGTCAATGTATTTAGGACGACGAACACTATTTTAATGTCTCATTCTAGTGATGGAACTCCCATTTACATGTACATGATTTGTAATGTACGTCATCCAAGCCATGCAAAGGTTGGGCCGTTTACAAGGCAATAGAAGTACTTTCATTTCTCAAAACATACTTTATGACCCTGACTTGGTGCATTCTCTACCCCAGTGCTTACGGGTTTGGGAATGTGCGTGTAAGCTCTGGAAACTCTGCGCACCGGAGTAGCCAGAATCTGGCTATTTGGGCCTCACAGCACATGCTATTTGATCCAACTAAAACTTTTTGTTTCTTTTATATCTACTTCATCGCGAAAGTCTTGTGCCGCTTCGGTATTAGAACTGAAGAAATTCAGTTTATAATGGCCTTGAGGAATATTCAGGTATCTAAGGCTCTTGTGGTAGCTGTTAAACGTTCCCAATCACAGATTTGAGACTTGAAGTTTGCATATGCTTGACAGTTGATTAAATATTTCTGTGGACTACTTCAAGAGGCAGTAAGTGAAACCCGAATGGCTTGTTAAGATAAACGTATCGAAATTCCAATAAAACTTTCCAAAATATGAATTTAGCGTCCTTTTATTTATATGAACATCAGCACTTCAGCGAAGCTGCAGCTTTGAAATGCGATATCATGGGAAAAGAAGACAACTATAAATATCTAGTCGCATTGTACATGCATCACTTTAGGGAACGATTTACTTTTTCTGTTTTTCCTTGCAAGTCTGTTTTAGGCAATTTACGACAAGAAGCTCAAGTTTTCATTCATACTCGGCTACTTTGTGTGAATACAATAACGTGGAAGTCAAAGAAAAACCAGTAATGTGTTATGCTTCTTAAATTATAGCTGGCAAAGATGTTGGTGTATTTTATTTTAGTCTTTCGCATTCAAATCTTTTTCTGGTTCAATTTTCGATATGTAGCTAAGCTATTTTATTTGAAAATTGGAAAATCCAGTAATTCTGCCTGATTATTAGTCGTGCAAATGTTGTTTTGGAATCACTGAAATCAAGAATCGGCCAGTCATGTTTACTTCAACATTTCTAGGGAAAAACCCGCTCACAAGCCAGACACACCACACATTCAACCGCTCTCGTGCGAACTTGAATGGACCAATCAGCAACACTTTTATTGTTTTTTGCTGAAACAAATCAGAGACAATCTTGCTCCAGGGATCTCCAGAGCTCTTGATAGCTCTCTCCTCTACATGCGCAGAAGTGCTCTGGGTCGAGATTGGACTTGGTGCGGCCCTGGGAATCGAATCCATGACCTCCTGCTCTGCAGTCAAGCAAGCTACCGACTGAGCTAATCCTGCTGCGGTTTGAGATCAATACAGGCTGCTGAATACACGCAACTATAGCTTGGTTATCCATCTGTACCTCTTATACAAAATACGCATATGATACTCTCTTAAGTTGTTGAGGGGTGTTAGAGGGGAGGGGGGGGCAGGGATTTCCTGCAGCTACTATAAGCATGACCCTTCCGCCAAGGTACATGTACTTTCATGCAAAACAAAAGAAAAGCACAGCTAAAAGTACCCCCCTAACTGTTTGATCCCTGCCTAATAGTTACTGCATATACCTAACAAATTCAATAGGTGTTTGCCCTGACCCAAATCAAAAAAGGAAGCAATCTTTTAATTGGATCAGGGCTCAACAGTCGTTCAATGGACAATGTCTTGCCAAGATGACCATGCATTTTTGTCCTCATAAGCTTTCGACTTCACCAAAAACTAACAAAATTTAAGTTAACTTACGCTGCTCCTCGGGAATCTTTTGGAAACCATCTGGTAAAGTGATAAGCGCAGTGAGCAACAAAGTAATACCACATTCTGTACTCTAAAGTCGGTCCCTTGGAACTCTTGGCCCATTCATCACGATAAAACTCAACTTGTAAACAATCGCCGATAAGCTCCTACACACACTGTATTCTACATTTTCCAATCAAAGCTTGATTTTATAGCCTAAGAGACCTAAAGAATCCTTAAAATTGGCTTGAGATAGGATTTCTCAAAATGCTTAGGTTGCGCAGAAAATATTTACGTCTTCATGGGAACTAAGCTAGTCTGGAATTTAGCCACCATGATGTGTCCCATGATTCCTTACACTACGTTCAGTTTGTTTCTCTCGTCTGATTGGTGTTTCTTTCCGTCCAAGCAGGACAGGAAAAATTTTTTTCTTGCACTCAAGACTCCATTAATACTGAAAAAGAGGTTGAAATTGAATTTACTGATAAACTTTAGAAATACTTTGCAAGGATCTCATGCTCTTTTATCGCTTCTGCGTTTCGATTAGAGGTCTGGGTACTAGATTGTTGTGCTCGTCCAACATGGCGGATCTAACAGGCAGTGCACTGGTTATTTTGGCCGAAGGTGCTGAAGAAATGGAAGCAGTGATCACCACAGACGTGCTTCGACGTGGGAAGGTATCTTGGCGTATGTAACCGCTTCTAATAAGTTTGTAGGTGTGATATTTATGGAAAATGAGAATGCAGTTCATGAAGTACACACCTCAAAGTATTGCCAAACATATAAGCTTAATTATTTTATACCTGCCAACTCTCACGCCTTAGGCGTGAGTCTCACGCCTGCGGGTTGAAAACTTCGATCTCACGCCGGCTCACGCCTGCGGACCAATTTCTCACGGCTGATTGAAAAATGTGAGTTGTTGCCGTCTTGCTTGACACAATTTCCAAAAATATGTTAACTCAGACCCATTTAAGGAACGAAAACCATGTGTAAAATGAATAAATGACAATACCTTCCTCGCGATCTCTGGTTTTGTGGATAAGCGTTTTCTCGATAACTTCGCCTTCGGCAGACTTCGGACGTCTTCGGGAGACTTCGGACTTCTTCGGGAATCTTCGGAAATGATCGTGTCGTTTTCAAAAATCCCAGCACTCCCAGGATAAAAATCTCACGCCTACATCTCAGAAAAAGTTGGCAGGTATATTATTTGCAAGCTTAATTAGGAAGACCTCAGATAACAACATATATGCCAACTGTCCCGGATTATCCGGAAGTCTCTCGGATATGGCACCGATCTCCCACTATCCCGTATGGGTTACCAAATCTCCCGGATGAAATCATCTTTTGCGCTTTTCTGTGCTTTAGTTTGAGAGTTAGCCCATTTCCCTCTCCAAATTTGAATTTTTTTTATTCGTAGTAGGGTTTCAGGGGCAGTATGCACTGACAAAGATTATTTTGGCATCAAAACAATGAACGTGAATTTCTATAGTATGTAATGTCATGTAAGACTTCATATAATGTCCATAGCCATTCCCATTTGGGACTGGGTCAATTTGTTGGGGGGTCCGTTAAAATTCGGGGATGGGGGGTAGTGAAAAAGAGACAGTCTCCAGATTTTAGATCTCCAGAGGTTGGCATCGCATCTCTGTAACAATGACCTCAACCAGGTTGACGTCCAGCAATTTTAGTGACAACAAGGGATTGGGTGGGGTGCTCAGTCTCGTGGACTCATAAAACCTGGTCATGGTCATTCTTATTTCAGGATTTTCACTTAGTTAATTAAACTTACTTGATTTATCCGATCCAGCCACCCAAAAGGTGGATATCACCAAAAACCAAAGAAATCTCTATCTGCTGGATAGTGTAGTTGGTTTCCCTAATACTTATCTACTGGATAGTGATTTATCCAGTGGATAGCGCTTTCCAGGGTTTTGGGGGTATCCAGTAGCTTTTGAATGACTGCCACCTGTGCCCAGCAGTGAGTGGGTCAACTGGTGGGTTGGTAGGTGTGGCTCTTTGGATGCAAAAAAAGGACGGTATTTAGGGGTCGGACTTCTGAGTACAGTTATTTCTCTTTTAGTTCATGTCCTATTGATTGTCAGTTTTATGTGAAATTCACACAGCTTGATGCAAGAATGTTTAAATATAGCATATATTTGAATATTTGTAATGTAGTTGTTACATATTAAAGTTTTAATTAACTTAACAAGTTAAAGAGTGTTTATCAGAATGGTTTTAATTTGTAGATTTTGTTTCAGGTTAAGACAGTGGTTGGAGGTCTTGCTGGTGCAGATCCTGTCACATGCAGTCGATATGTTGTGGTCATCAAACCAGATATGAGTTTAGAGGATGCCATTAAGCAGGTAGGAGGTAACATGTAAAAAAAGGAAAATTTGTCTTCTTTCTTAGAAAAAGAGTCCCTTAGAAGTTGCCTGGAATTGTCTAAAACAGAATACTTTCAGTCCAACCGGAAAAGTTTTGGGGAAACAAGTCCGCATTTGAAGCTGGACCAGTTGTCTGTTTTGGACCTGTCTTAACCCATTTGCCCCTGAATCACCCATAGCTGCCCCTGCAGATTCCACATCCCTTCTACTGCCTGTGACATCCTCAGTTTTAATGGCCAAGGACAACTTTGTCTGCTAACTTGTGCAGGGTGAAGAGATCTTTCAAACCATACCAGAATGAGCATGATTCAGTCAAGGAGACTGGAGAAAAAGGAAAAAAAAAAACATGTAACATTGACCCAAAAACTTCCCTGAAAATCCTGTTTCACTACCCACCTACCTTTCCTTTCATCTAATTCCAAAATCCTAAAAGCTTTCCCAAAAACTATTCCCAGCAAAGTAAAGCTTAATAAATTCCCAGCAAAAGAGAAAAAAAATGGGGCAAGAAAAGACTCGTGAATTTATGAAGAGGAGAGGAAAACAAATGCAAAGAAAAAGTAAAGACTGTTGTGTCACTTTTCAACCCAAAAAATTTTGCTTTCTGCGCATGCTCAAACTTCGCAAGCTAACATTTTGCATCTGGATCAGAAGGCCAGAAAGGCTATGACCTGTAAACAGCTTTGTGGTATAAGTTTTGCATTAGCTCTTTATACATGTAGTCAGACAATGACTAGAAAACTGCTCAACCAGCTTCCAAACGCATTTTTTGGCAAAATCCCCAGGAGTGAATGGGTGATCACATGAACGGTGCCATTCTATAACTATTTTTTAAATTTTTGACCATTCCCTTTATAAAGACCAAAACTTTTGGAAATTCAAATTGAAATTGAAAATCAGTTTTTTTTGACATTGTGTAGACAGCTCATAAGGAACATGGAACGCAAGATGAACAATGCTTGAAAGGGAGAACACAGCAAGGGAAGAGGGAATGCTTGTTTGATAGAAAAAAGTTTTACTTTTATTTTTAGGGTCCATATGATGCTGTTATTTTGCCTGGTGGATTAGGAGGATCTAACAACCTTGCTAAGGTATTTATATTTTTTAATTCTAAATGAAAATTTTGAGAGCTGATGAGAGGCAAAGGCTTACTTTAATTCTGTATGATTTACAGTCTGCGAAAGTTAAAGAGATCGATTCTCCAGGAACAAGAGCAAAGTGGAAGAATAATTGGAGCAATTTGTGCTGGTAAAGAAAATTTACTGTGATAAAAGGCCTAGGTGTAAACTCTGGAAAACTGGTCCTTTTTTTTGTTTTTCTTCTTTTTAACGTACTTGAAACATCTAGAGAATGATCTGTCAAGATTTAATTAGTAACATTCTGAAAATCGTAATCAAGTTGAAAAATTCTTACGATTAAAATTTGCCAGGGTTTTTCACTCTCTGAGTTTGAGATGACTTGAATCTGATACGAGCCAGATAGCAGCAATTTGTTTGATTGTGCAAGTGATCACAAAAATGTTTTTAAAGGCCCATGGGGATGCCTTTAATACAATGTACTTTGCTGTCAGGCTCAGCTTAACAATTTTTAGACGTATCCTTAAATCTTATGAGGCTCCCTTAGTCTAACTGCATTATGGAGTTAGACGTCTACAACCTTTCTGAGATTGGGAATGATAATATTGCAGCTGGAACTATTCAGAACTGGAACAATCTTACCAGGTAGAGTGATTTTCGTATGACCTTGAAAAATGGTTTTGGTAAGTGTTAATGTTATTTACCGTATCCGCCAAAGAAAACCGTACTATGGAGAAGGCATTGTTCAATTGGTCAATTGTGTTGCAATATGGCGTCAAAGTGAAGTATCGACTGATTTAAAGAAAGTTCTTTGGGCATGAATTTTTTTCAGCCGAGTGTTCGGTTAACCAGCCAAAAGCCACGCACATTTGTTCACTTGTTTTCATTTCAATTTCAAACAAAAATCACTCTTACCCTAACACTGTTGCAGGTGGCTAGTGGGCAAGCCCGCCTCTAAGTATGATAATTGAAGCCTAATTAATAATCCATAAAATAATGCAAAAGGTATTTTGATCAGCACTACTATAGCTAAAGCTTGTTGCCTTAGGGTGCTTTTTTTCTATTCGGTTATCAGTGTTCTCCTTATCAGGTGGTAACTGGTAAAATTTACCCCTTGAAGCAACACTTCTTACCACCTGCAACTGCTTTAAGTGTTACTATAATTAAACATAAATAAGTTGTCTCAAAAAACATGCAAGTTGTACGTGATCCAAGCCAATCCTCACAAGTAAAGGAAGTAAATGCGGAAAAACAAAAAGTATACACAGCTATTCTCTCTGATTACTTATTTAAATGCTAACTGGTACCTTTCAAAGCACTGCAGGCTAACAATTTTTTCATGGGTTTCTGTCCCAATTCTAGAATATTTTCTTGACCAGTAGGAAAAGTTCACGTCTCCTGCGACTTGTGTTACTAAATTAACCCTCTAGCGGTAAATGCAGGCTTCATTCATAAAATTCTTTGTTTTGAGGTGTTAAAAGTACTTTTCAGTCAATTGATTGACAGGATGCTCAAAAATAAAAGCCTTAATGAATGAAAATTCTCTCCCCCTCCGCCATGAGAGTGCGCCTCTGGTGCATATTTTTGGTCTTACTGGTCAAAAATGTTTTTTAACTTGCTGAGCTA